GGACTTTATTAATGGAGAACAAATTTTGAATGAGAAGCAAAAAAAATGATTCATAAAAACAGAAAAAGAAATTACCTTTGATTATGCGGATTGGAAACACAGATACAAATTTTGTGAGCAAGATTGCATACACAAGACTTGCAACAACCTTCCTGATTACAGCTAAGAGAGGAGAGGGTTCAAGAACAACCTCCTTTTCAGCGTAATTGGCATTGTCAACTTTCTGAACAGTGATAAGGACATATTAGTTTAAGTTAAACTAACAGAGAGGAGTAGGATATTTTCTGAAGAAGTTTTTATACTTACAATACTTGTGCCTGAATGTGTCAAGAAATTCCGGCCATGAATAAATTCAATATAATCTCTATAAAATATTATTGGACCAGCCATTAATGCTTGGAAGTGAAACATGTATGCAAAGTATTCTAAAACAGTAGGCATTTTCCTGACAAAAAAAGAAAAGAAATACATTGATTTGATTATTGAGAGCATGGCTATGCATGCTAGTGTTACAATTTTGAATTACCTACAGATGATAGAGGATGCATATTTTTTACCTTAAGGCGTGATATTTGCGGATCCCAGATAAATCTTCTTCTTTCTGAGTGAGTCCATCATGCAGACTGAATGCAAGACTGGTGACTTTCTGTGTGATCACCATGAGTGGTCCTTAAAAACGAGGAGAAGATTACTTGACATTATGGTGGCCTCAATACAGGACTATGAAATTTCTCCTGTACCTGTGATATCAAGAGTATAAGACCCATAATCATATATTTGTCGATGCAGGTGGATGCAGGATAGGTAGAACAGAGCAACAGCAAGGACAGCTCTGCAAAAGTATAAGAGCTTCAAGGTTTAGTTTGGGAAGAAAAGAGAAATAATTTATTTGAATGGACCAACATACTTCTGCATAATCTTCGGATCCTGGAAACGCATGACAACATAGCATATTGCAGGCAGTCCAGCCAAATGTATAGCTTGTCTGAAACAGATTTTAAAAAAAGATCTGCTGTTGAAATTGTGAGGTAGCATATTGCATTTCAGCTTTCCGACAGGGGTAGAGCAAGAGTCCACCAACCCCGCCCATCAGACCTGTCTTTGTCCCACCCACAACGGCATGGAGGCCTGATAGGGCTGACCTGACCTGACCCTTTAAAGAAGCCATTGTTGAGCGGGACGATCAAAGGTCAAACGCCCCCCTGGTGATGACAGACTCCCTCACATTCCGACAGAGCTTATTGAGTGTGTGAAAGAGCAATGAAAGTAGGATCTCCCTCCTACATTCACATTTCAGTCGCCGAGCAGGAGGTAATTTCCCCAGCCCGACTTTTCACATCATTTACCATTACTCCTCATTAAAGACCCTGCTCCCTCAACATCACCGATCTCATTCTATTATCTACAGGGTGGCCCACAGAGTGTTAGTCTAGCGAGTTATATTGTACCGCATGCTGCAGTGTGGACAAATTTGCCTAGGCAAAAGACCGTCCCTCACCACGGCGCCTTTGAGGGGTGAACGCCCCCCCCCCCTCTCTTTCTTCTCTCCCAGACGCCACAAAAACCCTGTCTATAGGCAACCCGGTCTTCCGAGCCTTGCCTTAAACAGCGCCTATTACTCCAACGCGCCCACACGCCTGCATGCGGTAAGAACTACTACGGGATATTCAGGGGTCTGTGGATCACCCTGTGTATTGCAAACCCGTGTGGTCCCCTGACCCCATCATGTGAATGGAAAGAACAAGGCGTTTGCCCGGGGTCCGAGGAGAGGTTGCCCCCGGGATGGACTCGCCGGCCAACGAGTATACTTACGCTCCGAAGCAGAAGTATCCAAAGAACAGCCCGAGAGCGAGAGCCACCCCATGCCGCAGGGCCGCGCTCGCGCGCTCGTGGTGCAAGCTCCCGCGAAACAACGGGGCCAGCGCGAGCGCCAGGAATTGCGTTATAAGAAAGTTGACCTGCGGACATCAGAAAGGTATCAGCAAAGTCGTACACTTCAGAATAAAATTGGCAAATGTTGTTAACGTTTTGGTGCGAGCGGGGGACTCCGCCGCTGTCAGGGGTGGGGGTGGGGGTGGGGGCTAATTACCACGTCGCTGCTAAAAAGGGTTGAGAGCGAGGGTTGCGTGGCCGAGACG